CACACTTGATTGCATTACAGGGTTTAATTAAGGAGCATCTTGGAGTCCAGAGGCTGTAATTCCTCAGTTTCAGTGGGTTTTTTTCAGTGGTATTTTTCAGTTTGTATGAGGAGGCTGGAAAAAGAAAAACAGAATCTCTGATCAGAAGTTTGAGAGACCCTCAGGAGAAAAAAAAAAAAAAAATTAAGATCAAGTAGAAGATCTTAAAGGACAATTAGAGAAACATTTGATGGTGGCTGAAACAGAACATTCTGCCTGAATGAAAGAGTGAAATCTGACAACTGTACCCTGCCATGTGACCAGAACGTGGTGGAGTGCTCAAGGGACAGTTGTGTGAGTGCGCATGTTTGGTGCATCCAACTGCACCAGCCAGCAAGTAAAGGACCTGAAAAGCTCCATGTGGGGGCTGGAACTGTGGGCAGGGATACTGGGCAGGCAGAAGGGCTGCGCCCAGAGTGAGGCCATCCATGAACCAGTGTTTGTGAGCCTAGAGAGGGAGGGCATGATGTGTTTTCATCAGTGAACATAAAGCTCTACCAGTTAAAGAAGAGGTGGAAACTCAGCTGTGTTTATGTCTTACATGGGTACCACAAGTGGTTGCGGTTGAGGGTAGCACCTTGTTCATGGCAATCTGTATGACTGATTGTGTCAGCATCCTCTGTGTATGCATCCTGTGTCTGTGTCTCTGGCATTTGTGCTCTGCTTTGCTGCTGGGTGAACCCGCAAACCATGGCTGCTGTCATTAGACAAATGCTGTCATCATTCTTACACACGAGGGAGGGTGGGCAGGAAAACCCAGAGTCGGCCACTGTGATTGTCAGGAGCACAAGAGGTCACTGTGTCCAAGGATGCTCGGATAAGTTCCTGCTCCAATGGGATGAATGTTCTGTTATTTCTCCACCCCCAAGGAGCTGGAATCCTCTGTGGATCATTAAAAGATTCTGGCTTTAAGAACAACAGCAGTTTGAGTGCAGGGGACAGGCCAAGTGACAGTTTGAATGCCATCCAATTGGTGTTTCTCCCACCTCCCCTGAAATTAGGCACTAAAGGCAGAAACACTCCATTATGAAAGGGTGGCTCTGTGCAAAGAAAGGAGCTGAGAGCATTCAGACCCTCCTTCCACCACACAGCCAGAGGTAAAGCTAGTTCACACAGCAGCAGGAACTTCGCTTGGAATGTGTCAGTTCCTACTGAATATGCTCCAAACTACTCAACCACCACTCACTGAGGCTTCATTTAAGAATGAAGAAGGTAGCAAAGATTGGGGAAACTGAGACATTCCCCCAGTCCCATACAACTGCTGCAGAGCTGAAGCTGCTCCAACTTCTGTGATGTGCCCACGAATTTCTCCCTAGGAGATATTCCTGCAAAGACAGAAGAGGAAACGTGGGAAAACTCTCCAATTGCTTGAAAAATATCTCTCCCATCCAAGTTTCAGGCTATACTTCACTTTATCACTTCATTCTGCAGCTACTCAGGATGCTGGAAGGTCCCACAGTGATCCTGACTGGAGTAATTTATTCATCTCCCTGCAAACTGTTGGCAAAGTGTCTTTAGAACACAGTAACAATGGATATTCCTGCCTTTGCTTGTGTGTTCACTCAGTGGCCCACTCCAACAAAGGGAAGAGGATTGTCATCTCTATGACAGGATTGGTTTGATCCAAATTTTAGACTGGCTTCCCCACCTCTTTCTTGTGCATGTATTTTTCAGTTTATTGTCTATTCTCAGTGCACTTGAAATTAGTTGAGAGCAATTAATTACTTTTATGAAGTCACAGAGCTAATGGTAACACCATTAAAATGCTGCTGTATCTAAAGATACAACTAGTACAGGAAAAGGAAAGTTGAATCACCTTAATTTTGTTTTCCCCTTTTTTTAATAGTCCACCAGCATTCAGTTGCTCTTCTGCTACCTATCCTCTTCTATAGCAATAAACTGTTTGTGCTCTGAGCTCGTCTAAATTGCAATTCAGGTTATTTCCATGACAGCATCTGGTGCCATTGCTGGGATTCCCAAGTCCATGCTGCAGCTGAGTGTCGGTGTAGGTGCTGGGGCACAGGGAGGCCACATGTGGGAAGATGAGCATCAGGGAGTGCTGTGGCACTGTAGTCTTTGGGGGATTATAGGGATGCTCACAGGTATAACTTGTGTGTTTGGGAATGTGTAGGAGGCAGGCTGCTTTAAACCTGGAGAAAGGGAGATGTAGGGTGGATGTAAGATTGATGAAGAACTCAGTGGTGTCCAAACTGAGAGGTGACTGAATGCTATGCAAGCAGCCTGCAGGGATGTCCCTTGGTGCTTGTCTTAATTATGAATCCCCACATCAGTGCAAAGGAATACACTCTAAAATCCTGCAGCAGGGAAGGGAGGCTAATAGACTTCTCTGATTACTTTGTAATAAGACAAAAAATCAGGGAAGGGAGGCACTCTAAGCTGGGGCTGTCCACAGTACTGACTGGACTGTTGGGGGTGCATCTGCAAGGCTGCCCTCGTGCTTCCCCCACTACCCCGAGGTCATGACTTTTAATGCACTAAATGCCTTTAACCTCTTAGAGAATGTTAAAGCATCTAAAGATTAATCTGCAATGTAGTGGCAATGGTGCTTCAAGCTCTTTTCCTCTCCTGGACTCTGTGTCACCAGGCTTCTAGAAAAAGGAAACCTTTTGTTTCTGGTTGTGTCTACAATTTAATTAATGATGTGACTTTTAAAATTTCGTGTTGTACTTATTTGACTTCATTTCTCCTGAATCTCTAATGTGAGAATGTCTCTCATAGTACCTCTCCCTCTTCCTTTGCTGTGATACCTGAACACAGCATCATCAAAAGATTCCAGATTCACTGGCAACACTTAAATTCTAAATATAACTCAAACTTTTCTGTGCAATCAGAGCTCTAAGACTTATTCCTGTAAATCAGATTAATGCTGGTACTACTTTTATGCTACTGATGCATCAATAAAGTTATGTTGAAATGCCTGGCTGAAACTGTTTCCTAAAGCACTATAGCATCAGTTCTGTTTTACAAATAACAGAGGTTTAGCACAAAGCAGAGAAAATTAGAAAAAAAAATTAAAACCCAAAAGACAACTGAAAAATCAGGCCATTTAAGCTAAGGAACTATCTCAAGCAAGTTTTATAATGCTCCATTCCTACTTTCTCCATAAGACTTGTTCGTATTAGCTTCCCTGGTGTATTTAATACTTTTGTCTTGCAGAGGTTGGGATGGAGAATGAGGTTGTAGGTAGGAGAATTAGCCCAGTACGTTTAATGCAGACTACAGAAATGTTTCTGCGCAACTCTGGGGACAGAGATGTGTTGGACGGCTGTGGAAGGGGTCTTGACAGCTGAGGGAGACTGGATCAGCTCTCTGTCTCTCTCCAGCAGGGTTGTGTGCTCGTGTTTGCTGTCTAAGTGTTTATGTCCTGAGTGAAAAAAATAAAGGGAGATTGTAAACGAAAGACTGTGGTAAGTAGGAATTGCAGTGCCTGAAGGACTTGTTGCCCCGGGCAGCCAGTGATTCTTTCTCAAACTCTCTATTTCAGAGCACTTAATTCAGGCCAGATAAGAAATCAGGATTGAAAGGATGGCTTCACCTCTGGTCAAGTGCAGGCAATGACTGTGTCTGGAGCTGAGGTTTCTCTCTCTGGGGCTGCTTCCAGTGCTTCCTAACGCATCCCTTCTTTGGGATGAAGACAATATTTTACACAGGATCACATGGAGCTATACTAATTAAGTTTTATAGCACACCAAATATAATCACTGAAATGGCATTTAAAATTCCAGGAGCTAAGCCTGGCTATGTTCCCACTGCAGCTGTGTCTGTGTGCAGCTTGACTCGTGCTCTGCTGTGTCCCTATGCTGCCTCTCCCTGAGAGAGACCCCTGGGTGCAAGTCTCCAAGCTCTCCAGAGTGCAGCAGAGCCCATCCTGTCCCTTCCCTCCATGCCTGCATGTGCAGTGTTACCCAGGCTGGAATGAGCTACTCAAGAGGGAGCTCTGCAGTAACACACACTGTATGGGGTTTTCAGTTCTGTTCTTCAGTCCTGGGCTGAAGATTTCTCCATCTCTCTATACCAGCAGGGATGACACTCTGCAGAGTGAACACCTGGGACCCTAGGATCCTCCAGCCCCTTCCAAGCCCCCTTTTCATTGCAATTTTGCCATGTATCCACCTGGAAGGAAGGCAGGAGAAAACCCTATAAAAACCCGGGATGAAACCACAGACAGGGGATCACCCAACACCTCTGCAGGAGGCAAGGGTCAGGTGTTTTCCTCTGGTCCCATCCTGGGCAGGATAGCATAGGCCTGGCCATGGAGCCATGAAAACCCCAGCAGGAGCCCAGCTAAGCACATAACAGGAGGCCCCAGGCTAGAGTAAAATCACCTCAGCTGTGCCCGTGAAGCCTGCAGTGACTAAGACCGCGCTGCTCCTGTGTGTCCAGGTCTCTGGAGTTTCAGCGGTGTTTTCTGCCTTTCCATATTCAAACCACACCCCTGCAGCCCCCAAGACACTGCTCCGCGGAACCCTGACCTCCGGCAGCAGGTGCTGGTCCCGCAGCCCGGCCTGCTGCCCTGGGCAGAGGCAGAGCCCACAGGGCTGCGGCCGGGCCGCCGGGCTGCGACCTGGAGCGGCGGAGGGCAGAGCCGGCGGTAGGAAGGTGGGTCCGTGAGGCCGGACCACCCGCCCCCCTCCCTCCCCTACCCCGATGTGGGGAGGGGCGGCCCGGCCGCTCCGTGAGGAGCCGTGGCTCCGCCCTAGGGTAGCCGTGCCAGTCGGGGCAGCACGCCCACCCGCCCCCAGGGCTGTGTGACCCCAAGGGCCGCCACCGCCCGTGCCCGCCCTCCCCGCCCCGCTCCTCGGGCCGATATAGCCGCGGGGGGCCGGCAGGGGCCGGCCCGCTCTCCCCGACGGCGAAGGGCAGCTCCCGCGCCTCCGTCCCGCCCTGCAGAGGGACCCCGCGCCGGCAGCACCCAGGTGTCTGCCCCCCTTCTTCCCGACATGGCTCTGTCCCTAGCCGGCGAGTCGGTCCCCGGAGACGGCAGAGACTCACTCGGGATAAGCCCCACCGGCCTCGCCTCCTACTACCCCTCATTCCTCCCACCCGCCCATTACTTCGAGACGGCTCCCGACTTCTTCCAGCCCCTGAAGCCCCTGGGCGAGCTGGTTTCCTCCTCGCCGCCTCTGCCTCCATTCACCTTCAGCAGGGTCCCCGCTTTTCTAAGCCAGCCGCCCCCTCTGCCCACCGACCCTTTCCCCAACCTTCCTTTGCCCGTCTACACCAGGCTGCCGGCCCCCTTCCCTCCCAGTGAGGGCTCGGCCCTCGGGAAGGGGGCCCCGGGGTCGCTCTCGCCGCCCTACCCGAGCCCCCCGCACAGGGCTGCCCGCAGCCCGGGGGCAGACGGGGCGGCGGGGCAGAGCTACAGGTACCACTTCACCGAGGAGGAGCTCAACGCGGTGCTGTACGGGGCACTCCGGAGCAGCCAGCCTGCCGGGAATCTCCACGCCATCTCGGGGCTCCGGGTGTGCCCCGCCAGCTCGGGTAAGGGGGTATTTGACGGCGGCGAGAGGGACACAGGGTGGCCCTGGGCGGCAGCTCGCTCTTCGCAGCCAGATGTGCGAGAGGGTTCGGAGACAGTCCCAAAAGGCGTGCAGGCAGCCAGGTTCAAGCGGCATCCCCGGGGGCACGTCGGACTCATCTTCCCTGTGGTTTTCTTGCGTTACGAGCCCACACCTGGAAAAAGCCGGGGAGTGATTCGGGTTGTGGCCTTTGTCGGGAAGGTAGGACCCGCTCCTGCAGGGCCGGTGCTGAAGAAGGGGTTCCTTTTCTGCAGGCGCTGCGGACTCCGCCGCCCCGCTGCTCGACCGGGACTCGCTGCAGCTGCCCGAAGGTAGGTGTCCCGCACCGCCCGCGCCGCGCCCGCCCGCGCCGCGCCGCGCTCAGCCCCCTGTCACCCGCAGGGCTCTCGGTGCTGCGGGTGGCCTACGGGGACGTGTCTCAGCTCGGAGTCTTCTGTACCGACCCCATCCCGAAAGGAGTCCGCTTCGGCCCTTTCCAAGGCAAAGTGGTCAACACGAGCGAGATCAAGACTTACGACGACAACTCGCTGATGTGGGAGGTAGCGGAGGCACCGTCGGGCTCACCCCGCACCCCCAGCGCGGGCCCGGGGCGAGGTTTTTGGCGTCCCCTCTACCGTAGCCTGCAAGAGGGGCTCGGCCCAGTGTGGGTGGTGGGACTGGTGAGAGCAGGACGTGTACGGAAGGTCAAACCTGATCCTTTTTTCTCTGCTCGCCAGATCTTTGAATACGGTGGCCTGAGCCACTTTATCGATGGGAAGGGCGCCGCTGGCAACTGGATGTCCCTGGTGAACTGCGCCAGGTTCCCTGAGGAGCAGAATTTGACGGCTATCCAGTGCCAGGGACAAATCTTCTACGAGACCTGCAAGGAAATCTTCCCGAACCAGGAGCTGCTGGTGTGGTACGGCGATTGCTACGTGCAATTTCTGGGCATCCCCATCAGCTTGAAGGGCATGGCGGAGGGGAAGAAACCCCCGCAGCACCCCGAAGGTGAGCCTGCCAGCAACCCCTTGAGCGACACTGCCCCTTATTCCCACGGACGTGTACCTGACCTGAATTAGATTCACACGAGGGGAGGTAAAGAAACACAAGCACCACATTTGTCCGGCGTTTTACTTTAAAAGCTTCCCAGACCCTGCGATGAGGCGGTGGTGGGTGACCGGTCCTGCCGCGGGGGCGGTGGCCCCGCAGCCCCGGTCCCTTGGGTCTGTCCGCCCGCTCTCCCAGGGAGCCGATCCCCGGCCGCCCCTTCCTGCGGCATCTAGCATCCCGAATCAGCAGCTTCCCCTCGGCACCGGGAATCCGGGGGTTTGCACCGAGGGCTGCCGGCAGCGCGGAGCAAGAGGCTGCTCTTTCTTCCGCCGTCAGTCCGCGGCTCCTCGGGGAGTTTAAAGTGTTGTTTGGTCTGACGATTGTAAAACATCTGGTGGTCCTGGGCTGAGCTTGCCTGGGCCCTCAGCGCCGTTTTTCAGGGTCCCGTTTTGGGAGGAGATGGGGTTATTCCACCTTTGGTCCTGTTTCATCTTAGGATTGCACACCTGACTTTCGTGTAATTGACGCTCTCATTTACTGAGGCAGGCTGAAGTCGTTCCGATCCCGTAATGCCAGTATTGCTTGCAAAAGAAATGTCAAATGAACTTACACCAGGGTGAGAGGAGAGGGAGGGTAGTTCTACTTGTAATGTACAGAAAGTATGATCTTATAAGCAAAATTTATGTATGGAAAAAACAGATTTGTGCCAGCGCGGGAAAAGCTGGAGCAGGGAAGGGATGGGTTAGCCCGGTGCAGCAGAAAGGGGGAGAAGCAAATTTGCATGAAAATTTGGCATGGAAAATTTTGTACCTGTTGTCTTGAAATGTCTAATTTGACAGATGCTAAATTGTTCATTTCATCTTAAGGCTTAAGCTAAAGCTACTTTTATTAAAGACAGAAAAGAATGTATAAACGCCTGAAATTTTTCTGGTGTTTTTCCTAAATTCAGTGGTAAAAAATGAATTGAATTTTTTAAAAAAGTCAAATAAATATGTTATTTTGTTCGATAGTTATTTGAAAACTATAGAAAAGGTGTGCAATGTTTGGGGTTTTTTTTGGTTTTTTTTTTTTTTTTTTTTGGTTTTTTTTTTTTTTTCCCCTTTTGGGATGGCAGGTAAAACTGACAGACAATTCTTGATAAGAAATATCTCACAATGGTTGCATACATGGAGAAGTTTTTATGATGGACTCTTTGAGTTGTTTCTTCACGTGTTTTCTTGCTATTTATGGATATACAAGGAAGAAATCTTGGTTTTGGCGAAGTTAGTAGCTAAACCGAATAATTTCAGCAGGCTTTGGGGTCTCGTTTGTTCCACTCCTTTAAAAAGACAAGGGGAGATGCGGCATGTATTTTGCTAATGATTTTGCCAGCATCAGTTTACAGTCGTTGCCCCCTCAGAGACTCAAAATTCCCCGTAGGGATCCCAGCTCTGCCAAGGATGCAGGTTTGATCTGAATCCCTTTTGCCGCGGTGTAACGGTGAGGTGGCACTTTCCCTTCTGCCGTACAGAAGCCGGGGAGAGCTTCAAGTGTGAGCGCTGCGGCAAAGTTTTTGCCTACAAGTACTACCGGGACAAACACCTCAAGTACACCCGCTGCGTGGACCAGGGGGACCGCAAATTTCCTTGTCACCTTTGTGACCGATCCTTTGAAAAAAGAGACAGGCTGAGGATCCATATTCTCCACGTTCACGAAAAGCACAGACCTCACAAGGTGAGCCTGCTCCCGGATCTCTCTGCAGTCACTGGCTCTTCTGAGGGTACTTAATAAATCTTTTTTTTGGTCCAGATAAGATGTTGATAACGTTGTTCCTCCATTTTCCCTGGTAGTTTTCTGGTGGGACTTCTCAGGAAGAACTTGTCTTGTGCAGCAAAGCTTGGTTAAAGAAATTTAATGGGTTTAGGTTGGGAAAATAAACTCCACAGTCTCAGTTTAAAAAGAAACAAAATTTCTCCTGGGCTTTTTGCGTGGTTGCATATGAATGTTGCTCCTTTTCTCACACAGTGTGAGGTTAACTTGTGTTTAAGGTGCTTGGCTTGTCCAGGATCAGGGGAGAGATGTCTCATGTCTGTTTCCCACACCCCACTCTTCGGTCTGAGAACCGTCTGGTCTGACAGCTTTATCTGTGTCTGTTGGACCAAACAGGGCTTAAAAGTTTTACGTTCAGTGTGAAGCAGATTTTCAATTGATGAAAGCAAATCTTTAAAATGCTTTACTCATCTCCACCAAACCCCTTGCTTCTAGCACCAGTTTTCTCTGGCAGCACTGGGAATGGAAAATCAAACTTTTTTTTTTTCTGAAAAGCCTGGGAAGGGCAAGTTCTCGTGCTTGAAACAGCACAGTTAAATCAGTCCTCAAAGTTCTCCAAATACCTGTTTTATAGATCATCCTACAATGTCTATATTTTTTGAGAAAAAAATATTTTGTAACTAAAATGACACTATTACAATGTCAGAATATCTGCATGGAATTTGTAACAGATAAATTTTCCATTAAATATGAGATATTAAATACCATGTAATTCCTTTTCCTTTACCTTGCCTTGGTAAATTTAAGATTATTTTATTCTTTAGATAGTTTATCTTTTAGGAAAAAAATTAAAACTGGGGCTTGATTAATATATATTTTTAAGTGATTTCACAGAAATGTTCAGATTTTTATTACAGAAAATCAATATTGTCTGTTCTGTAAAATACCAATTTTTTATTGAAACAATTTTAACACCAATGATTTGAAATTTTGCATGGTTTTAATGCAAAACATATGTACATATGCGGTAAATTTTTTCTTAAAACCCGACTAAACATCTGGGTATTTCAATTTATCGCAGTTAAAATTGCTATTGTGTTTGCACATGAATATATAAATACATGTGTATATCTAGATTATATGTAAGAAATGTGCACATCATCCACATACTTAATTTTTTCTTTTAACTATGTAGTTACATGCTTCCTTTTAACTTTATTCCTTTTTTTTCCCCCAGTGCTCTGTGTGTGGGAAGAGCTTTTCTCAATCCTCCAGCCTGAACAAACACATGCGGGTTCACTCTGGGGAGCGCCCCTACAAATGTGTCTACTGCAACAAGGTAAGGAAGCCCTGCCCCATCTCTCCCTCTGCTGTGCTTTGTTTCTTCTCTGTTTTCTTTCAAGAAAATGCTTTTTATTGAACTGGTAACCAGATGAGTGGGTGTATATTCTGGGCAGCTGTGAGGTAAGGTGACAGGACGGGATGAGACTGAAGAAACAGGGTCTGGTCCCATCTGACATGGAATTTGTGGTTCATACCAGCTCAGTGATCTGCTGCAGAAATAAGGTCTAGGGAAGCTTGAGAGCTTTTCAAAAACCACCCAAAGCATGCAGCTATATCCAGTAGATAGATATTTTTTGGTGTTCAGATAGATAATTTTTGGTGTTCTTGACACTGCTTCTGGACTGCAATAAACAGATTTGGTCTATAAACTGAACCTGTGCAATATGAATTTGTGCATGCTTACCTTGAAATATCAAGGCTGTTGATGGGCAGATGGGCATGGAGGTTTCACTTAAAAAAAGAACACAAGGAGAACCATACAGCCCTGATCAAAGATGTGCTCTGCTGTTACTGCCCATCACAGCAGGGGTGATTCAGGTGAGCTCTCCCTGTGAAAGTGCTGGCAGCTCTCACAGCAGACAGCAAGTGGATGCACAAATTGCTGGAGGATGAATATTGGTAGGGCTCCTAGTGCTGTGGAGTGTCCATGCAATACAGAAACCCCATCAGCAGTGGTAACCTGCTACTGATTTTGTAGAGAGAAAAGTTTTCTGTATGACTGGCTGGACTAACACAAAGATGAAGTGTCTTGCTGAAGTGCCCTTAGAGGAAACTCCTTTTGGCTATTATATTTTTTTGTCTCCCCATGATCATCCTGAACATACTTGTTCTCAGAGATTAGGATGAAATCTCATCCTTAATCTTCTGATCACAAGAGGAGGTGGCAGAGCTTTATAGGTTGCTCTGTAAAGAGATGTCTCGGGACTCTTGACCAGTCCCCAGCCGGTTCTGGTTGGACTGCTGTGGATTGGATCAGATTAAACTTTTTGTCCTCAGGCTGCAGGATGCAGCTATCCTAGAACATAGCCATAATTACTGAGGCTGGAAAACCAGGGCCTGTTTTAATGAATCCTCACTGGCTCCTCCTATGCGATTAAGATTCTTTTCCTCTTCTGCCTCTAACAGTGGCTTTGCTTTTCCAGCTCCTTTGCTGGAAATCAGTGTTCACTTACTTCAGGAACATTGTGAGATTAAAGGAACAGTGCTGGGTCAGCATCACCATTCTCTCCCCAAAATATATTTTTGCCCTTGGTATACACCTCTAAGGACTTATGTATAGGAGTCTGTGATCTTTTTGTGCTCTAAGGTTCCTAGTGAAAGGGTCTCTAATAAGATGTATTGCTGTTTGCCGTGAAAACTTAGTAGAAAGTATTTATTTTGTATGGTCTGCAAAGAGTGAAGGGCCTGAAATTCTCTTTGGATAAGAAAAAATGGGGAAAACATGAGCAACTTTACAACATTCCTGCTCAAATTTTCGTGAGAGAGTTTTATCCCCAAATGGAGGAGAAGTCTTTATGACTTTGCTACTCAAAAGTGTTAGTGGTGGGGGAACAGGCTGGAAACTCTGCCTGCAAAAAGAGAAGAGTATGATGGAGCAGGGAAAATGAACTTGTAAGTGATGTATGGTGGACTGCATAGACGAATTTTAGCAGCTGAATCCCAAGACAGTCAAAGGGTTTAACTTTAAAAACAAAAACTGTAAGGAAAGCCTGCATTATGTTTCCCACACATAAATGAGCTGCAAAGTTAATTAGGGTAGTATTGACTTCTTCCCTCTGACATATAGAAGATATTTACTGGTGTCTTTGGTCAGAAATCTTTCTCTGAGCTCCATATATCTCCATGGACTCAGCCACATCTGTATAGCAATAGCTTTTGCCTTCTGATTCCTCCTTGCTGGGAGTTTTCATTATTTTTTTCCACTTGCCTGAGGAGTGGAAACGTGAGCTATTTCAGGACTTAATTTTCAGGGTAGTGTGCTTCTGGTGGTGTCTGGGTTAGCTGAAGGTGGGGATTGCACATGTGAAAGCAAATTACTTGCAATTCCATTTCCTTTCCTGCCCTGCCCTTAACGATTCCTGCCCTTTCAGGCGTTCACAGCATCCAGCATCCTGCGCACTCACATCCGCCAGCACTCGGGGGAGAAGCCCTTCAAGTGCAAGCACTGCGGCAAAGCCTTCGCCTCGCACGCGGCCCACGACAGCCACGTGCGGCGCACGCACAGCAAGGACAAGGGCTGCACGTGCTCCGTGTGCGGCCAGCACTTCCCCCAGCAGGAGGATTGTGACTTCCACATGAAGATTCATGCTGCTCACTAGTCAGGAGCCCCACGGATGTGTCCTGGACCAGCTCATTGTGTGTTTCAGTCTGTGTGTTTCTGTTTGTGCGTGGCTGTGTGCACAGCGCAGGAGGTGACACCTGCAGTGGCTCTTGGGGTAGGTCTGGTCTCTGGACCCAGGGCACGTGACTGAGCACAGGGAACAGGGTACACTCTGATGCCACTCTCCTTCTCCTCCCATACTGTAATCTCTAAAGACAGGAAGGAATTCTACCTCCCAAAACCCCTTTGTGCACAAATATCCCTGTGAGGAGTGTTTCTGCATCTCCAGTGCCTATGGGCTGCCTGGTACAATCTGTATCAAAGCCTGTGTAAGGGATGTTTTTATCAGGTGCATTTCTCAAAGCTGATTTAACCTGTTCATGTTGTTTGGACAGATGACCACAGGTGTATGGTCTACTTACCCTTAACCTGTCTTTTAGTGATGTTCTATTTAAATGTGAACTTCTCAGAGATACTGGCTGCTGGACCAACAAAGAGCTATTTTAAATAATTTAGCTGCTGGGAGACTGAGAACTCCAGGGCTGTGGGAGCAACTCTTCCAGAGGGTGCTGGATGCTGGTTAGCCCAGGGGGAGAGAAGTGGGGAGTGGTAAGATCTATGCAGGCCTGATATCCCAGGTAGCAGAGGTAGTGGAGGTTGGTTTTGTCTTCTCAAGAGTTTGGAGGACCAAACATGGTGATACTCCTAAGCATCAGTGAGCCAGTGAGTGGATAATGAGCAGTCAAGTGGCCTCACAGAAGTGTTTCATTGTAGACTCAGAGCAGGCCAGACGCAAACACAATCCCAGCAGTGGGCTCTTCTTTCTGGATTTCCCTGAACCTCTCTGGTTCTGGCCAGGTGAATCTTTGCAGTGAACCTTGAAATGAAGGGTGGGCTTGTCTGCTTCCTCCTGGTTTTATGTTGGATTACTGTAAGGTGCTACCAGAAAATTCTTTCCCTGGTCTGCAGGGAAGGGACTTTGCTTCCATGGGAGGACTGGAAGGTGTCATCCTCCATGTCTCACTGCCCACACATGCAATGCAGGAGTGTGGTCAGTGAGACATTTTCAATTCTTAAGAAAGTGGCATTCCATATCAATGTGAAATTTTAACTAAGAAGCTTAACAAAAAGCATGTGCTGAAGGACTGCTGAGGATAGGGAGTGCTGTAACTGCTATAGAAGTTTTAATTATCACTGAGTGACCACCACGACTGGCAGAAGGTTGTGCATGTGAAAGGTCTCACTGTGCTAGTGGGACTGTGTGTTGCATCCAGGAGGAATAATGGAAGTCCCTTTTGGAGCTAGTTGATAAACACAGGTAGTTCGATATTACTGGGATGATAAAGTTCTCTTCAAAGTATCCTAGATCATCTAGAATTAACAAGAATTTTGTACATAAAGTAGAAGAAAGTCAAGTTTTTATTTTGTACAAACTCTATTGGTCTCTTTAAATACAGCATAGAAATAGAAAATATTTTACTTGTACATTCAATTATACTGTGCAGATACTGTATCCTTAAATATATTGATTTGCACTAATTTTATAAGGTTTTTTGTATCTCAAGTTGCTCTGTTCTCATTGTTTTCATGGTAAAAATATTTTTAGATATTTATTGAATCACTTACTGGTAAACAAAATATTGAGGCCCAGCACTAGGAAGTATGTGAAATAAGCAAATCCATTTGTATTGTGTGTTTATGCATGTAGGTTTTAGAGTATGCTCTGATTATTGGTTTTTGCTTATTTTAATACCAAATATTACTATAATACAGCAGGCTAAATATTTTACATATTGAGGGCTGAATCCCTGACCCCTAAATAAGTAAAATTCACTGCCGAGCAGAAAATTATCACAGTACTTACATGTACAAACAATACTGTGAAACAGGTAGGGGAACTGAACCTTTCTTCCAGCTGCCTGCTGTCTAGGAGGATAGCTACAAACATACAAAATCATGGCCAACAGAAACAAGAATTGTGTGTGAAGCCTTTGTTAGTTCAGTCACTTATAAAAAATCAGTATTTGGTGAAATAAACTGCCTACTAATGAAGGAAATGTTATGACTAGGAATGGCTTTGAAGTACTGTGAAATGCCTGATTATCTTCCCGTGCAGGTAACCTCCTTTTTTGTTCTGAATGAAGGTTGTATATTTAAATGGTGCCTCTGTAGTGTTCTTGTATACATTTTCATCTTCTTGAAGAAATCCCAAATGTCTTGTGCTTAATTATTTGCACCTTTCTATAGTATTTGATGTGTTGCCTGTAAAGGAGTATGTGAAGGGTTATACTTGTGATTGAAGGTACTGGCTGCCTTGCACATTAAAACCGTGTATGTAAATTTTGATGCTAATTATTGTGCACAAAACTGCTCTATAAAAAGTTAGTGTCCATAAAGGAGACAGAGGAGTCCTGCAACTTTATTTGAATACGGAGAGGGAGAGTCCACTAGAAGACTGAGCCTTCTTCTATCCTAAACTCCGGGCTGCATGTTGCCCTTTACTTTTCCCATTGGCTGAGGTACAGCTTTCCCGAGCTGCCTTGAGCATTTGTCATTTTCTCCCAAAGTATGTAGGTTCTGCAGCAGGGTTTGCTGACCCATTTTTCTATTACCACGAAGTTCAGGAGTTTAGGCTGTAGTCAAATTGGATGGGTTCTGTAACAAACTTTCAGCTTGACGTTGGTAGAGACATTAAGACCCATCTCAAAGACATGAACACCCGTTTGTCCTAAAGACCCTCACCCATCGAGTTGTTTGTGAAGACGTTAGCACCTATCTTTTCTATTATTAATATTATTACTCTTACGTTCATGCAAATAATAAAAATAAATTGTTAGAGGCTGCAGTGTACACTAATGGGCTGTGGCTTGTTTCCTGCCAGATGCAGAGTTGTGTATTTGAGGTACTAGCAAATGGATGAAGCGTGTTTTCTGTGTCATTTGTAAGTCGTTACAGAGTCAAACTCTCTTATTGGGAATTCTAGTCCTTGTCCTGATGGGCAGCAGCTGACTGCACAAGAAGTCAAAGGCACCCACTGTCTTGATGGATTTGGTCTTAAGTACCCTAACAGTTCATGAAAGCTGAGGGCATTCAGTTCTGGATTGAGTTCACTCCCACTTGCAAGCAAGATGATTGATCCGGATTGAGCACTAAAAAAAGGAATTAAACTACCTTGTAGCATTTAACTACCCTATAGAGTCATCCTCTCCCTTTTGAATAGTGAGTCCCAGCTGTGCTGGGGACAGGATGGCACTTGGCTCTGCACACTTCACAGCAGGGTGGGGAGAAATGTATCAGGAGGGAGGTCAAGCTGAGCCACCCGCGAGACCACTGCAGATTTTAGTTTTCTGAAACGAAAATGCGCTGATTGTCAGAGCAAACAGATTGCTGTTCTTGCCAGATGGGGGTTAGGAGAGATTAGAGAATCCTCCTGTAGTGTACCTGTACCCTGTGTGTGTCCCGTGAGCTCGAGGTTTTCCTCCCCGAGGATTTGCACATTTACTTGCACCGTTTGTGGCTGTGCTCTCAGCAGCTGAGTGAATGTGCAGCTCTAGCCAGCTCAGCCAGCAGTGGGGTTTTGGATATTTGTACACACCACTAAGAAGGGGGGAGACTGAGGGAGCTTGTGTGCATGCTGCACTTCGATATCTGGCAGGATCCCAGAATGACTGCATGGCACAGAAGGACATGTGCATGAAGGAGGCTGCACTGCAAGCCCAGCAGAAAAGAGAATATTTGTGACCATGTGTAAAATCTCAGTCCTTGTGCAGGGCAGTCCCGGCTGCCAGGTCTGTCCTGAGCAGGCACCGTGGTGCTTCATGCTCCAGCAGCTATTTCTGAGCTGAGGCAGCAAAAACGACATCCCTGCAGCTCTCAGGCGGCTGGGCTGTGGCTTTACACGCTGTACGAAATCCATCTCTTCCATTTCTTGGCATCTGCAAATATAGGACAGAGGTGTTATTTTCCATGACAGTAACTACAGTAATACACTGTGCAATTTAGTGAGAAACACCCGTGTTTCTCACTCAGCTTCACTTAAACTGGCTGTGGGGTGATGCCCCTGTCTGGGGTCACATTGTCACTGCTTTCACTAAGGCAAAGGATATGTGTGCACCCTGGCTCTTCTTCCCTTAACTAGGATTGAAAATGGTCCTCCCAAGGGGAGCAGCAAGACAAGTCCCTGGGACTAATCCGTCCTGTAAGACACTAGGTGATTTTAAGTGCTCTGCATTAACTCTGTGTGAGTTTTTTAAATGTTAATAGGAAGTGATCTAAATAGAAACCAGAGTATGAGGGCAATCAACTGTTTTGTTGGAGCAGAGGGGTGCAGGGAGAGAGAGACTGTGTGAGGCTAACTCCTGCAATGCTCCTCCTGGGTAAATGACAATGGGGAGACAAAAAAAAAAGGTGGTCCCAGAGCTCAGGCTTGCAAGTGTGAGAGAACAAAAGGCCTGGCCGCAGACATCTGCTGCCTGTAGCATCTCCTGCATATCCCTGTTTTTCAAACACCTGATCCCCAGCCCCTGCTGTCCCAGTCCCTGTCCTGCTGCTCACTCTGGAGAACAGGGAGGTAGTTAACCACTGAAGGAGGGTGAAAAGCAGCAAGGAGCTTAGTGAATTGAAGATATGTCACAAACAAATATTGGTCAGTTCCAACCTATCCATTAAACAAGAGAGATTGTTCACTAGAGGAGCCCTGACTGGCTGTCCCCTTCTTAAGAAAGCCATTCCTTGGGTCCCCAGTCTCCTACAAGCCTTTGCAGCAAGTGCTGGTGTTTGTTTACCCCTACAGACACAGTCACCATCATCTTCATTTGCCTTTCCCTCCTGATACACATGCCCTTGCACTTTCTCCCTTCTGTCTCTCCTTAACACACTTGGTGCAGGGCCTTAGGCACATGAGGGGTGTGAGGCTCTGTCTTTGCTCTCCTTTTGTTCTTTTTCAATCTTAGGTAAAATATGTCCAGACTTTCAGTCTGTGTTTTTATGGTGCTTGAC